GTTAACTTTCAGCCACACCAGCCTCTTATTTAAGAATGTTCACTTTGTCTGGTTTTGTTGCAGTCTGCCCCATATAACTAATCGATAGGGATTAGCGGTTTCACAACATACTAATACCGAATAATTTACCAATCATTAATAATAATTTGGACATGTGAATTTTATCAAAGGTTACCTAGTGCTTTGCCGAGGTGGTCCTTATCAAGAGAGTTGACTGCGTATCTAATCGAAATGCCAATGTTCTCAGCATCTGCGGGGTTGCCATTTCACGCGGCCATGTAATATTGCAGGCCGATCAAATATTCCTAGTGGCACCGTCGGAGAAATAGTCTCCACATCATCTAATAAGATTGCGTCTGACTTGTTGCAATGAACCCGAACTGAAAAACAAATCGATGGTCAAAGAGAAGATTTCTTAGAGCCAAGTTTCAAGGTCATACTCACATGAACTCTCCCACACACTGCAGTGTCGGTGTGATCACTATATGCAAATCATACATTCATATGCGTACAGCATAAATCCGTGAAATCAGAATTAACAAACACCACATGTGTCAATCGATGTATTCAAACATCGCTACAGTTGACATGTAACCATGCACAATATACCCCGAATTGTCTATTGGTAAATAATAGTTGTCTTTTGTTGCTAAGAACGTAAGCACCACACTTTCAAGTACTCTTGTCTAAAGGATAGCCTTGTCGAGGCCCTTCGATGAATTGATCATCAAATGCAAAAGTCGCATATGTGTCAAATAAAGCGAAATTCGTATAGACCAATTTTACAACTGGTTTATCTGTCAAAACCGGAGTATGTTATTCGTTTGTTACAACTAACTGTTGTATAACATTTTTATGTCCTCCCCACATTGTGTTAGTTTTCGAAATAATAATGCGTCGGCTATCTACTATCTGTACTGTGAGACATTATTTGACTATGGTTTGGTTCTGAAAAAACTGTGTCAAATGCGTAACCATTTCAGTATATGTTATCCACATCCCTGTTAATGCACTAGAGACGTTACGCGAATATTTGACAATCCCGATAAGAAGAAGCACCAATAAATCGATAAAGAGATTATTGTATCGCTGCAATACGTAGAAAGAGCTCATAAAAAAGAAGGCTACAGTCGGGGAGTAGAGAATTAAACTGTATTGCACATTTGATAAGAACTCAAATTGACATCTGCAGATAAACTAAAATACCAATATAACGTCCTGTACTGGATAGTTAGTATAAAACCGAATTAGTATTGATCACGATTTTTATTACGAGAAATTAACGATACTATTATCAGCTAAGGTTTCTCCGTGATTGTTTAATTAAAGGGGCTTAATTAAACAATCACGGAGAAAAGCGGGATATTGAAAAGTTGTGTTGGACTATTAAACTTAGTCATTCGTTTATCTTTTTTTCGATTGGTTCAGTGGTACTCGAAGTAATGACGATCCGTAGACCATCATTTTAAACACATTAACCTAATATCGTTTACAATTAACGGATAGACAACATGATATTATACCAATGTACGGGCTGACGTTCGGATACGAGCTATTCCATTATCGGTGTTATTCTCCGGTTCAGTGAATTAGTCAACAACACTAATTATGAACACTCAACGATAATCGACTGTCGAATATCTCGTGAGAGATACTCCCACTACCCAACATGAGTCATGTGGCAGATCATAGCTTCGCTATTACATCGTTTGATTAGTGCACAATGCAAGCAATTGGGTTGAATCAGTGCCCCGAATCAGTATCGGTGGTGTCCCCCGTTGCCCATCGTTACTATTACTTTTTTTGTTTCTTTCTGAACCCAGAACACACTTGTTGCACGAAATTGGCATACACCCCATATTGTCTAATATAGTGATCTTAATTTGGACTTGACTATTTTTGAAGGCAATTATCAAACAGAGTGCCGGATAAATGACTGTGAATTTTATTAGATACAGTAAACCTATCAATTTGCTGACCATATGATTAGAAAACACTATATAGAAACTCATATATGCAATAATAACGTCGTGTTCACATTATGAACGAATAACATTATTACATTTTTCTTCGTTTTTACACATTGTTCTGTTCTCGTTTAGAGCTGAATACCAACTTGCACATTCTTCCCAGGGCAAATGGGGACATACGTTTGAACAGGATCCACTGACTGAGCAAAGTTTTGTGTCCAGAAGCCATCCTTATAGCCAAGCCCAAAATGTGTGTATTGGTCGTTTAGGATATTGGCACGATGATCTTTCGACCTCATCCAACTTGGAGGGGGTGGGAGAAAAAGAGGAATGTTAGGTTATATGTGACTTTCTTGCTACTCTGCCCATACATTTGTACTTACGCTTCGATAACATTAATCATTTTGTCCTCTTCAAATCCTTGTGCAATATTCTCCCCGGCAACCCACCAAGGAAACGACTGTTCCGTTAGACGTTGTCTGAGATCGCCTATTTCATCTCGGTGTGTGAGGTTTTTTGTCAATGCCATGTATTCCGAGTGTAATTGGGCTGCTTTTGTTAAACGGCTTTTGGTGACGATTCAAATGTGTACAAGAGAAGACAAACGTAGAGTAAGAACACATGAATACGTTGACGAATTGACCCACGCAGCTGAACGAACAAGTAGCATGATTACTCACTCGTCAAGTATAAGCGGTTCTGCAAATACTGTCGCCCGCTCTCTATTTACTAGACAAAGCATTTTCGAAGCAATCGATATTGTTTCTCCTCCTGGCAGGCCGTTTGTTGTTTTGCATATTATTAATACTAATATTATTATACCGAGTTTCATGTTCATTCTTATTTTACTTATATTTTAAGAATTGTATATAATCAATATATGTTTTTTAATGGTCGAGAGTTTAACATAAAATTCTCTTCATTCCGACATCAAAAAACACACGTATATATATATATTTCTCGTCATAGAACGGTTACCTTTTATGTAAATCTCGTGACACGTCCCAACTGCAGGCAGATGTGACTTTGATTGTTCTATGGATGCCAAGCTCGTCATTAAGGATATATATATACATGTTCTCGTGTCCCTTTGTATCTGGGTTAACTGACCCCAAAACATGTCTTTCTAAGATCCGAGAAACAGCGCTTTCCTTAACTCTGCTACTAAGACTAATCGATATTAAAAGTAAGCCATTTGTAGTTATGCATGTACTAACAAAGACATGCATCAATGCTCTTGCAACTTGTTATATTTTCGATTGCATTATTTCATAATACGATGCACAGGGTAGCTAATATTCACTAATACTAATAAGTAAAATGAGATCGCTATTGCTGGATTGTTAGGGTTACAAAATATCTGGAACTCAGAATCACTTAACTGAGGTGTGCACTTGTGGAGGTGCGTATTTATACGTTACACGAGATCTTGTAAAACCATACTTGCTAACGTCACCACACCCTTCTACAAACGATCACTTTCTTTATTGATATAATAAGTTCGTAATGGTGTAAGACTTTATTTTCCCATCAATGTTCATTCCACGCCCATCTCAAAAGTCATGGACCCTTCCGAATTTAGCGTAGGCTGAATAATGTTTGTGGCTACATGCATTGTCATTGTTACATATACTACATGCAGTAATTGTGATTTTCGGAGTTTTGTCAACAAGTCCGATTCATTACAAATAAAAATTCAGACTTTGGTTTCTCGACAACGAAGCAAGATGTTTGGCCAAACTTTTTTGTATTCGATAGCAGTTGTTTTGTTGTTTTGTTGTTTTGTTGTTTTTTTTTTGCGCTTTCGAATGAATGTAAAATTTATGCAAGTTTATTATGTGAATTGATTTTCTAAACATGTAGGTCATGTTTATTTTAGCCTTTTACACAAGATTTAGAGTTCAACAATCGATAAGATCGTGTCACTCTTAAGACAAAGGAATTATTCCGCCCCAAATCTTTCGATAGTAAAATAACTCGAATACCTCGAGAATAAGTGTTACCAAACAATCTTAAACCTTAATTTATGAATGAATAGTGCTGAAAGCATAAGCATATGTTATCTGCGAAACATGTTACAAAATTCTGCATATTGCATTAGGAGAGGACGCCGTTCAAGCAATTCAGTCATTTGATATAACAATAAAGGACGTAATGTTCTCGATAAAATAAAACCTCTATTAAACCGTTGCGGCCGACCCGTCAACTTTAACTTGTTGAGTTTGACTGTGTATATTACTAGCTAACACACTGCAATTGGCATTGCATTGCTCGACTACCGAGATTTAAAATTCGATCTCTTCGCGAAGAAACAAGATATCTGGGCAATCTTTTATAAATCTGATAGCGCTTATAAAGTTGTGTAAAGTTGTATGTGAATTAATTTATTATCAATGTTTCGCACTGAATTCAGTATTAATTTCAATAATGATTGCATTGCTCGTTACGCCAATATTATCAATTATGGTGACTTTTGAAACGGGACAGTATAATAACGGTCGAAATTATAACGACGCATAAATTCCTCTAAACTATTTGAAACGAGTCTAGGTCCAAAAACAACGTCTGATACGATACTCTTTTTGCAAGGTCTTTCGATTTCATCACAACCATATATCGCGCTACCTTACAGAGCTTGAAGTATAAGGCATGTACATTGTCATCTCTACTATCTAGTGCATCAGACAGCCTTTTCTTTATTTTGTGGTAACACTGAGAAGTTCCATCAGTGTATCAAAGTGAAGATGTCTGCATCTGAGAATGACCTCGCTCGATAAGATTCTAAAAGATTGTACAAAAACTATTGACTCCAATTACCCCGTTTCACAATGTGTCCAGACAACGGTTTTGGCCAACTTTCAAGCTGAATATAGCCCAAGCCACAGCCAACTCCTTCTCAAGTTCAGAATACTTTGCTTTACGACCCGTATGGAGCTTGAGAATGTGTGGAGATGTTTCCATTGATGTACAACATACATATTGGCCAAAAAGTATCGGTCACTCATTGAAATTTACTAGCACTAGTAAAAACCTTTAATATCTATCGTCAATGCGTATTATGCTAATTGATTGTATTTTTCAAAAAAAAATTTTAATGACATATTCAGTCCTGTTATCGTTTTAAAGCTGTAGTTCGATGAAGTGGCACATATGAAACCGTATGAAAATCATGTGTAAGATAAATACGCCACTACTTCTTCGTTACAGTAGATAAACACTATTTTTTCAAAAAACACAATAAATTAGCTTCAAAACGGTACAAGATCACTGCGACTTACATAGTACGTATGAACGATAGATATTTTCAAAAGTAAAGGTTTTTTACTATGTTTTATTAGTAAATTTCAATGAATGACCAATACTTTTTGAGTTTTGCGTTCCTTTATTAGTAGCACCAAGACGCTCGTGACCAATAATTTAGAACTTTATTGCGCTCGTGACCAATACTTTTGGAGTTTTGCGTTCCTTTATTAGTAGCACCAAGACGCTCGTGACCAATACTTTTGGAGTTTTACGTTCCTTTATTAGTAGCACCAAGGTGCTCGTGACCAATACTTTTGGAGTTTTGCGTTCCTTTACTTTTGGTCAATGCCCAATGAAAAGATTTATGTGGTAAGACTTCCTTCCCACCCCCATGGTATAACAGGTTTTTGTAAAATACCACTGGTCCGTAAATTAAGGTTCGAGCCCTTAAATGACAATCAAATATGCATGTCTTTGTGGCTGACAAATTTATTCTTTTCCTCTCTTAAGTTATTCTTTTGCTGGTAAAAAGGACAAGCAGTCCCGTGATCTTACCGATGACCTAAGGAGTTACCCCTTCTAATAGCTAAAGTAAGGTAGGTTTTAATATTCTCACAAACCATGAGATGCACTATATCAGGACTGAGAATGAGGTGCCCAAAAATGGAATCAATACTGCAGCAACTAAAAGCGTGAGACATTGATTACTATTAATATATTTACTATTAATAGCCCGCGCCCACCGGCAGTTACGGTGCAATATTTGTATTTAGAACAACCTTTAGAAGTGCACAATATTTATCCTGTAATATGGTTGTGTCTGAGTTGGGGGCCTGTCTCAGTTCGGAACTCAGTTGTCTCAGCTCCGAACCCAGGCACTCATTCCAGAACTCCAACCGAGGTACAACAATTACCTGAGCTATTACTATTAGACGCCAATTCAAAATAACAATCAGATGTTTTGTTGCAGCATGGCCCATATAATAGATAAACTATGTACTTGAGTAACAGAAATTAAACAAAATGTCGATAGATAAATTAGACGTCACAATAATTTACTTTTGCTAATATTTTAAAATCACAATTAGGAGGGCATGAGGGTTTGGTCGATAATTGCCTTTGTCGTACTGCTGTTGCGTTATTAAATTGGGATGCGGCCTGTATCTTCTTTGTACGTCTTACTCGAATAAAAAATTTATCCTGAAGGTGGTATCTATGATTCTAACTAATTGCTGCCCAGGCTTACTATGCTATTAATACTCCGAACTCAAAATTAACTTGTCCAGCTTGATAACATTTTAAGGATGTCAGATCCAAAAGTCCTGCCCTTGTAATACTAAGTGAAGTGGCTGCTAAGTTTTGGCTCTTTGGTGCTTGTGCTTCTTCGGTGAATAGTTCAAAATAAACACGTGACTTATAAATGTTATATACAGTGTACAGATCTTTAATGTTCAACAAGTAATCGTTTTTTGATAGGCAGTCGCTTGCTCTCTCATTCGTGTAAATATTTCTTTTTGTACTTTGGCAGTGTAGGAACTTTGCGTTCTTGCACACGCAAGTGGGCTACTAATAAACCAGTTAGCATGCACCAACATCAACTTATCGAGTGTTCCTAATATTGATCCCTTTCTCTCTTAATCGATAAGAATATCGTGTTGTTAAAAGTTGGTAGAGAAGAATTGAGGTGCGTCCAGGTGTAAAAGTTGAAAGTGAATGGTCCGTAGCGATATACATTTTTCATTTTCTTCTCTTTTTTAATCCATTCTATATATTCAACAAGACGAACGCTGTAATTAACTAGATTGTACGCCTTTGCCGATTCCATCCGCCAATAAATGGCAATGTATGGGCGTATTAATAACGCAACACTCTTTGCCCGCTCAATAAGATGATCCGCATATTTAAGTGAAGGAGCCATTCGGTGAAGATTTGGATAATTAAATCTGGTAAAACTATAATACATTAGTAGGACATCTGATTGAACCGATCGAAGACCACCGGTAACAAAACGTGCGATTTTAGCTCGGTCTTTGAACGTTTTTCTCGTTCGCATGTCGAGCACTTTGTCTTCGTAAACAGTTGTGGTTTCGAGATTGATTCGCTTCGATTCAATATGCTCTTCTTTAATCTTGTAACTACAGTCTAACAAGGCATTTATTTCGCTCATCTCCTGGCTCCACAACAGAAATCGACTTTGTGTAATAACTCTGATGTTCGGAGACTGTTGAATTACACTATCTAGACATAAGTTTGTGCGGTTTTTTAAAGAATTTTTTATTAATCGATTTTGGTTCAATTGAAAGCTCTGTTTCTCGCGTACGCGTCTTTGTTATTGTTTACGCCATACAAGATAAAAACAATTCAAATTATAAATAAAAGTAACAGCACTAATAATTGTCCGATACTGTAACGATACCAATAAGTATCTGATACTGCAACTTACGAACGACAATACACCCATTCATACGGCTAAAGATGTTAAGGCATGGATTGCTGAAAATGTTAAGGATTGGCCTGCTCAATCCCCGAATTTGAATCCCATTGAGCGCCTTTGGGATAATCTCAAACGTTGTTTGCGCGACCGTTCTGATCCTCCCAGAAATCTTGTAAATTTAGAAGTGCAGTTAAAGAAGAATGAGAGAAAATCCCGCAAAGAGTCTTCCTCAAATTAATCGATAGTATGCCTCAACAAATAGAAGCATGTATTGCCAATAATGGTTGGCCAACAAGATATCAGTATTTCATTAAGCTAAGATGAAATAAAAAATTCTTTAAAAAACCGCGCAAACTTATGTCTAGATAGTGTACGTTGATAGAGTAATACGTGTAAAAACCAAATAAAAAAGATTTGCATGCACCTAGTCTTGCATCCCCGACATTAGGTAAGATTGGTTTTTTCTGCCAACATCATTGTGGCTTTATGTGTAGTCGCGCCCTGGATTCTTGCTCATTTACGGAAACTGGAAATAAAAACCGACATGTGGAAGAGCGCAATAGTTCAGATTTATCTGCTCTTCTATATCGGTTACTTCTTGAAAGGGCTCGTCAAAATAACGGTAGTTTGGCTACAATTAAAAAGAAAGGATATTATTAGAAATAAAATATATCTGACCTATTAAAACATAGAATAATGTATTAATTATTAAAAGTACGGTTTTCCCGAGTATTATTATAATTCTGTGAATAGACTAATTGAATTTTCTCTTGAACGTCCGCAACGATTTTAATATTAAATTAGGAATTCTTTTATTTCATTAACGCCAAAAACCTGGAAATCTGCAAATTACACAATTACTTTGGGGACCTTTTGAATATTACTTCTTCACAACCAAGGATACTTACCTCTTCCTCATAGCGGTTTACCGTTCCTCTTCAAGCGCATGTCTATATAGTCGACCATACTCCAGAGGGCGAAGAGGCACACAATAACCATGACAATTCGTATCACCCATTGTAACAAGTTTTTCATGGTATCGAATGTATTTATAATGGAGCTACATTAAATGACACACGGAGGCATCTTATTATTTTACTTTATATAACATGAAGTTGCCTTGTATCACAATTTATTACTGAGCAATGCATGTTCTTGCGTTATTAGAAATACTGTCTAATAATTAAATCGGTGGACAATTCTAATTCTAATTGTGTTGTTACTTTTTTTTTTACTTTCGATGTAAAGAAGAAAAAGAACCTAAAAGTAAACTAATTTTTGATTGTCCGTGCTTACTTGGGCGTATTTTTTATTGATTCGCCGCACAATCAAATTTCGCAACGCACAAACCCGTTCCGAATAATTTAAATGACTTACAGTGTACAGTGCGACACGAAAAAGACTGTTGCCAGCCAACGGCTGTACCAACCATTATCATTAATATCTCGTTTGATAGCCCAAAAAGTTTAATATAGAATTCGTTCACCCATTTTCTCTACATCTATCTCTCATCGAACTAACTAAATTAATTAACTATAACGTGATTTTTTGAATCATATTCCACACCTTATCAAGATAGGGCCCAACCAATAACTTCAGGAACATTTTCCTGAAGAAATGATTTGACAGGACGTTCTTAATCTCTAAATTTTAAAATAAAGTCTGAATCGCGTTATAATTTCGTGTCATGCTGTGTAACAGGGTTTTGTAATGGTAACGGTAAATATGGTACGAATGTCTGTTTGATATTTCTCACAAACCAGAGGATGAGGTACCCAAAGATGGAATCGCAGCTAAAGCATGAGATATTGATTACTATTTATATAACGACGAATTGTTTATTATTATATTTGCTATTAATAACCCGCGCCACCGACAATTACGGCGCACGAAAAAAGTAGTGAGAATAATATTTTCATTTAAAAGTGCACGATATTTTATCCTGTGATATGGTAAACAATAGTTCATCTTATTATTACTCAATTACCTCTTGGCATGCACGAGCTAAATTAATCGCACATCCAAACCTTTGCTAGTATCCAAACTATGTTGCTAGCGCGTCGCGAGTGGCGTATGCTTGAGACTGTGTTCTTGGATTCGCCTACGAGGCTCTAGAATAGTGACTAAAAATGGTAAGACTAGTATGGTGATGACAAGGCGATGGTTTGATCCTTAAGTTATGTATACCATAATGTGGTTTGATAAATGGTAAAACTCACAAGAAAACGACCTTCGCTTGTCATTCTGGATTAGTCAACAGTTAGTGGTACTACTATTCTCTCGTTAAAGTCATAGACATACGATGAGGATTTATTTGCAAGACGAGTGGATATCCCCCACACAATAAGAAATTTACAATTTGAAATAAAATATAATAACACGGAAGTTGGTTGCGATAAGTTGTATAAACGTGTAATTAGATAAATTCCTTATCTATATCCTCTCGTGCACCAATGTCTATCTATAATGTCTCCTTGAATAAACAATTACTGTACAGTGTATTAATACATAGTCCAACTTCCATACCAAACAATCTTTCCTACGTCTTTTACATTTTCAAAAAATGATCTGCCGACTGTTTTTGTGCTGCGTTGTCCTGCTTAAATGCCAGAATACCAGCAATAACACTAGCAACTAGGAATAGTATACTGATAATAAGCCAGATAAAGCCCCATACTTGAGGTGGACAGCATCCACACATCTGAGCGAATTTTGATGCGTCTGATTCGTTTACTTTACGCATCACTGTTTGAAGAAAAAGCAGGCATGTCAGCATCGGAGAATTGTCGAATGTGACAGGATTTACAATACAAAGGTACCTACCAAGATCGTCCATAATATCCCAGACAGAGTAGAAACAAGACATAACTCTGCAATATCAAATAATAAAGTTAATATCCTACGCAAGCTGACTGATCTGGACGACAAACGGCACATTTGCCATTTCACTTTTACTCATATGGATTCATAATCAAAACATACCCAACAAACAGCACAAAGTATTTCAGCCCCGCGCTATCCTGGACAATCCAAAGCACAACAATCAGCCCGATAAAGAGGACGGTTATTCCTCTGGTCAGCCAGTTACGTGCCCAAATGAGAACAGCAATGAGGCATAGACCGAGTAATATTGATACGATCTTTGATGCTAGGATGTTGAAGCCGCAGAAGATTAACAGTGCACCGATTAGGGATGATCCCAGATAACCTTTGTTCAAGGAATAAAGCTTGTATTAACAAATTGGGTGGGGGAAAGATGGAAATTTGAAGGAAATGACAACAGTTATAGTTACCTGCAGGTAAAGTACAGCACTGAACCCCTCCACGCTGTTATGCATCGTCAACGTGAGTAATGAGATTAGTAAATAGACTCTTGTCATTGTACTCTGATGCCAACAGTCGATTAGATTACATCAATACTTAAACTTACCATGCGCGTAACTCCTCCTTCGTTAGGTTCGATCTCTATCGCTTCTATTCGTGCACCCGTGCAGCATCCCGCTGCCGCGTGTGAGAATTCATGGAGTCCAACTACTAAAAGCTAAATGTATCGATAAAAGAGATTAACGGCTTGTAAAAAAGAGTTGGAAATCGAGACAAAGAAAACACGTGGATAGGTCTTGAGAGTCTACTCACTTTAAAAGGATAGAGTATATGTTTTATATATGGTAAATTCCATAAAATTAGAATGCCAACGAAGTATGCTCCAATTATATATAAAGTTATTCGCTGAGTATCATTTGGTTCTAATCGTTGTGATATCGTTTCTCTCTCGTAGATTACTGGCATTCTGATACGATTTAGATTTTTGAAAACAACAGTATAAAACAGGTCCGGCAGTGTAGGAAGGGCTCGTTTATATCGATGTTTTAGTGTCCGTTTTCAATTCGGCACAGCCCAGGGGGGAGCTTGGCAGGGATGACAAGGTAATATCGTATCTTCCATGCTACTTTCCAGACCTTCATTAATCCTTCTCCCGCCCCCCCAACTTCTTATACTTTTGAGGCTAATTCGATTACCCCAAATGAAGATGTATTAATATATCATCCAATCAGATGGATTCGTCGAAACACAATTCCTTGGCAATATATCAATTAGGGAGTGGGAGTAACTTATCTACAATCCCGTGGGGGGCATGTTTTCCAATCGAATGTACTAAGCCAAAGTTTGCATCGCCACGCATATACGCTAGAAACAGTTATTCGAATGTTCGTTGTACGCAACCAGCGCGTCATTGAAGACATTGTGGCTGATTCAACAATTATATGTAGCGATAACATTATTTTGTAAAGACGAATTATTTCACTCAAGAGACAAATATGAGATTTTCTAAAACAAAAAGTTATTCTCAAGAGTCGATAGTGTTGTTTTTATTTTGTAAATCGTTCCGTCCTTTGTTAATGCGAGGAGTTCAAATATATAATATTAATATTAATGCCAATGTCGGATAATCACACAAACGTAGATTTCTAATTTTAGAATGGCTTTGAATTTTACGCAGTAAAGCCACTTAATCTTTTTTAGACTTCATAATTTTTTGATTTATATGAATATAGTAATTGGTTAGTCTCGCTATCTATAAACCTATTAACGTTAATAACAGTCAACCAAAGAGGTAATAATTTTCAATTTGTTTATTGGTATTATTTTGCCAGGTTAAGTTATCACACCTGCAAGTTTACTGTAAAGACAAAACAAAAATCTTCTCTGAACAGAATTTTCAAAGTCAATGGCTGTTACGAGAATACTATAAGAAACTGAGAAAGTTCCACTAGCTTGAATCTCATTTTCCTCCCTCCTCCCCAATCTTAACATTCAGTAGTCTACCTTTATTCTTAATAAATAAAGTTAAAAACGAGCTGATAGATTACAAGTGCAAGACACGTTTGCTCTACGAAATCCTTTCATATATACTAGCATCCTGCTTCTTAATTCCCTCTTTACATTCTTCCTTATATCTTGTTTATTTTCTTAACAATCATGTCCTCTCTTCCTGGCCCGACACCAATCCACTCAACCGGGACATTCAAACGCGTTTCAATGAGATTAATATAATTCCGTGCGTTGAGAGGAAGATCATCAAATGATCGGCATGTGGAAATATCTTCTGACCAACCGGGGAGGGTCTCATATGTTACGGTTACCTTTGAGAGCACGCCCAAGTCAGCTAATATACAAGGGAAGTAAATGTCAGTATTAAAAACAACATATATCAGGAGAGGAATATTACATCAGGTTTTCAACCCACCAGGAAAGCTCTCTAATGGAACTCCATCGACTTCATAATCAATAGCAATTTTAACTTCGTTCAACCCGCTCAATATGTCCAATTTTGTTAGGTTCAAACTATTATATCCATTAATCATGGCTGAGTACTTCATCATAACCAAATCCAACCATCCACATCTTCTCTTTCTACCTGTTGTAACACCCCATTCCTTTCCAACTTGCTGAAAGTGCTCCCCGATTTTGTCGTGCAGTTCTGTAGGGAACGGGCCCCCGCCAACTCGAGTTGTATAGGCTTTTACAACGCCTATAATTTTCCCGATACTTTGCGGAGGAATGCCAAGACCAGTCAACACACCACCAATGGTTGTGGAGGATGAGGTAACAAAGGGATATGTGCCAAAATCGAGATCAAGCATCAATGCATTGGCTCCTTCAATAAGAATACGTTTCTGAGAAGCCAAGGACCGATGCATAAAGGTTATAGTGTCGATAACGTAGGGCTTTAGACGTTCTGCATAGTTCTGAAAGAGATTGAGGAACAGGCAGGTAAGAAAGGGTATAAAACTCAAACGCCGCCTCAAAACAAATACAATCTCATCCTTCCGTTTCTTACCTTGTATCGCTCAATCTCTTGCTCGACATCATATTCAAAAAATCCATACCTCTTCCTCCTATTTTCAACCAATTTTCTAAATTTTGTTGCAAAATCTTCACTATTAAACAAATGGTGCACTCGCAGACCTGAACGCGATGCTTTATTGGAATAAGCAGGACCTATGCCTCTTTTCGTAGTTCCGATAGAAGACTTTCCTAGTTCGACTTCCTTCAAACCATCTACGATTTGATGAAAGTCGAAAACCAAGTGAGCGCGATCGGAGAGAAAGAGGCGATCGGACACACTGAGACCTGAATTTGGAAAAGCGACGGTATAGCGGATTAGCTTATAGGGAAACAATGCTCAGAAGGTTTGATAAAGTCGGATAATTCGAAAGTTATTATATAACCTTGTGATTCGAGCGCTTCGATTTCTTTAAAGAATGCTGGCAAATGCACGACTACGCCCGATCCGATAATCGATATGCACTTGGGATTGGTCAAGCCTAGGAATAAAGAAACGTAACTTCGTAAGATTATTGTTAACGTAGAAGATCCACAAGTCCACGAATAAATCGTACTAAATTTATACCGGAAGGAAGCAAATGAAAGTGGTACTTGTTTCCATTCACGACAATTGTATGTCCAGCATTATTGCCGCCCTGATTGCAGAAACATGAGTATACATCTCTTGTCTGTATGTTCTCCTCATCCATACTTTTTGAGATTTAATCTATGGCCTTTACTTTTTTACAGACTCACACACCCAGTTCTATATCTGCATCCTAAACCGAAACGGATGCCCTTTGTTTTACAATTTGCTATATACTTATTTATATACCCGACTTGTTTATATTCCAAAATCAGAATGAAAAATCAACTCCTCGCCTCTGTCTTTTCCGCAGTCGATACATACCGCAAATCTTGCGCAAACTTCAGCTTCCTGTCCAATAATATCAACCAACTTTCCCTTTCCCTCATCTCCCCACTGAGCTCCCAATACAACAATGACGTTATTTTCAGAAAAGCTGCCTGAAGCAGAGGTATTAGTTGTAGTTGTCATTCTAATATATTACTCAGCAACACAGGATACTGTTTTGTTATATAGTAATAGGAATAAATAAACACGATCAGGCGGCTGTGCAAAATTTTTTGATAATCGGAATTTACCTGGCAGGTCACACAATATTCCAGGTCGTACATGCTCAAATATTATCCTTTCATTGGATGCTCAGATGACCTCTCCTCCATAAATAGAAATATGATTGGCTGTACGACATGTCGGGTTGAATAAATTTTTGTGTCAAATTTTTTTAGGTGATAATCCGAGTAACTCAGAGATTAGATATGATAAATTGGTAGTTGGTGCTACGAGATGTGGGTGATAAACAAACAGCAAACACACTTTGACTTTTAGCTCTTTATTTTAGTAATATACTCTATTACACCAGTCGAAGGATTATAGCCAAGTGCCATTTATACCGTCGAACTTGGGATTAGTCATAACATGGTCGGTATAATCGGAAACGTTGCCGGATGGGCTGGATTCGGGTTTGCTGTTCGAGTGCTTGCAATGGCACTTGAGAAGAGACCGTTGCTCGACAGTATGTATTGATGTTCGAACTTCAGACAACCTCGCTTCTTCTGTAAGGCTAGTTGCATCAATCCTCTTCCATTCCGCAGTGTCCCTTTTTAGTCTTTGTGCTTTTTAGGCTTGGTCATATTACCACTACATCATCGAACGGATAGCCGAAGCTAAAGCTTTCCCTCGAATCTATTTCGATATCAATTATTACCGATATTCTATTTTTAACTTTGTCTATACATTTTATTTCTTCAAACAACAAACAAACAAACAAACAAAACACTATTTTAATCTCATGTCTACCCATTTTACCATATGATTCTCTCTGAATCTTTGCCTTTGACGATATTCCAGAGCCAGTAACGCATCTAGCAACTGCAGCAGTCTTTGGTGGAGTTGGGTGGTATATTTATGAAGCTGAACAGCGACAATCAGAATTGATTCAAAAGCGAAAACGACTTCTTCTCGAGAATCGGAAACGACGCGCAGAATTAGAGGCTTCCAGGATGGCAACAAGCGAATAAGGTGATGGTGGAGAGTATGTCCGTGTTGTCCCGGCGCTTATTTGAAGGAAAAGTCGAATGTAAGGGAATTTCTAGAAACGATTGTGTTTACCACGAACAATATCTAATACTAATCAATCCTAAATGATATAATGATGGTGATTCATTGCTGTTTTTCCTTAAAATAATGTACTATTATTACATTGTCATCCTCCCTATTCCATTTCACGTGATAATAACAATTACACGGATAAAGAATGTTATTTTATGCATGGCGTTAATGTGTGTGTCACACGCTACACCAGGCCATCTGTTTCCGATAATAAAAAGGAGTCTACAATATTCATCTCCGCTAATCGGGGGTAGATTTATTACTCTGCCGGTCCAACTTATTCATCCTTCCGTTTTCGCTGTTCATTCTTATCACTATAAAAAATGGCGGCTATGCGTTGTGCAAGTCTGTTATGCTTTATCCTCCTCTTTTCGGCTCTCATCTTCATTAATGCGCAGTTCGTCGACCAGGATCACGCGTCCTCCACTCAATATGCTATCAATAAATTCAAAACAAAGATAAATAACATTGAAAATAAAATTAAAGATAAATTGGAGGATGTGAGACTCGAGTTGGAAGACATCGAGCATAGTCTGCAAGAACAGTTGGATGATTTGGGAAATGGTTTTGAGATACTGACACATGCCGAGTTTCCTGAGCATTCTATCCGATTGAAGCCAGGATCGTTGTGTGATAATAGTGTTAAGCAGGTAAGATATGCACATTTGTATGTATATGTGTGTGGCTTATTCTATAATAAGCATGGTGCCTTTACTATCGGCTATTTGCTCACTACTCTCACTTCTACCCTTTTTAGTACACTGGTTATCTTGATGCCGGCAGTAATAGACATTTCTTCTTCTGGTTCTTTGAGTCAAGAAATAACCCTTCAACTGATCCAATTGTCTTATGGGTATGTTGTTGCATCCAGTCTACTATACATAGCTCATGGATTATTCTTACTTTATATCTAACAATATACGTATATACATTGTCAGCTGAATGGTGGCCCCGGATGCAGCTCTTTGACTGGGTTATTATTTGAATTGGGTCCATGCTCGGTCAACGAAGACGGAACCGACACAATATTTAATCCTCATTCATGGAATAACAATGCTTCAGTCATATTTTTAGATCAGGTAGAGCAAACATTCTCTCATGTGTTTCCATATTGTTTAGGTCTATGTTTAAAATTGACACTTTGAATTTAAACGCAGCCAATGAACGTTGGATTTTCTTACGGTAGCGGAGTATCTAATACCAATGCTGCAGCTCAGGACGTATTAGCGTTTCTCCAAATATTCTTTAACAAATTTCAACAATATGGCACATTAGACTTCCATATTGCTGGCGAATCGTAAGTCAGTCTATTATGCATAAATGACATTGACGTTATACTATGGAGCTTGTATTAACATGGTTGCACTTTTATCATTTAGTTACGCTGGTCATTACATTCCAGCTATCGCACACGAAATCCTCACTCACAATTATGCCGTTGCCGGTATCCGTTCCGCATGCACCACCAAATACCATATCAACCCAAGAACCAGTATTCTCATCAACTTCAAGTCTGTTCTTATTGGCAATGGTCTCGTTGATCCTCTTGTTCAATACAAATATTACCCTGATATGGCTTGCAATTCATCGTACTCTCCGGTGCTCGACGAAGAAACTTGTGATAAGATGAGAGCGGCGTATCCCAAATGTGCTCAATTCATTAGCAATTGTTACAAATCACAGAGCGTGTTTAATTGTCTACCTGCTTCAATGTACTGCAACAAAGAGATGATAGGTCCATATCAGCGGACCGGGAAGAATCCTTACGATGTTAGGAAAAATTGTGAAGGGAACAGCCTATGTTATCCTATTCTTGAGTCTATCGAGAAATATTTGAACCGGGAAGAAGTTAAACGCCAACTCGGTGTTGATCCTGGTATTCATTATAAAAGCTGTAACCATGACGTTAACTTCAGATTCATGATGGCTGGTGATTGGTCAGTATGCATATCTTCGTTGGTGTCCTAATCCTGAATTCTAATGTCACCTTATGACTGACCACTGACCATAACAACTAAACCCGTCATTTATATCTGTCTTTATTAGGATGCATCCATATCACGAATTACTTCCCAAAGTACTGGATGCGGGTGTTCGCGTCCTCATTTACGCAGGTGACGCCGACTATATCTGCAATTGGATTGGCAATGAGGCTTGGGTAAAGGCGCTCGAATGGTCTGGTAAAGCCGCATTCAACGCTGCCAAGGATGAAAAATGGATTACTGAAGACGTATCGGAGACATGGGCTGGCAATGTCAGAAGTTCAGGATCGTTAACTTGGCTTAGGGTCTTCGAGGCTGGTCATATGGTACCTTACGACCAAGCCTCAAACAGTTTAGACTTCTTTAATCGTTGGCTTCAGAAGAGAAAGTTTTGTGCATAACCGATATATTAATATACCTGTACCGATTTATTTATTTTTATAATATTTGATGTATTGTATTCGCCGTAAATAAACGCACATTCTGTGTCGTTAAGAGTCATTACGACCGCAACTAATTAGTTCGCCGTTCTTTTTAAATTTCTACAATCCTCCCCTCAATTCACTAACAACCATTCGCATCCGATCCTCGCTCATGACTCCAAATTTGTAAACCTGCATAACAAAACTGCCGGTACCAGCCGTTAAACCCCTCAACGCACTTCCGTATCCTAACATCTTTTCCAACGGTACTCTGGCATAAATTACTCTCCTCGGCTTTTGTACATCAACGTAATCATCACTTTGATAAACCCCGTCAGGTGGTGCATAGACCTCTCTTTCTTCTACATCACTCATATCACTTTGCCCTGCAGTTTCGAGCGATAGAATATCTCCACGACGAATGCCGCTAAGATCGCTAACGACTACGCCGAGATACTCTTCGGGGATCTCGACGGTAATGTTCATTAATGGTTCGAGTAGCAGAGAGTTAGAGCGCTTGAGAGCTTGAGATAAAGCAAGGGAGGCACACGCACCAAGAGCTGTCTTGGATGATTCGGTACCAAAAAGGCACAACGAATGAACCTTGACGCGAAGATTTATCAATGGAAAGCTGAGAAGTGGGCCACGGTATAATGCAGAAACAAGACCGCTGCGAATTGAAGTTGCAATGTCTTCGGGTGGGAGGGATGGCGCAAGTAAGGGCGTTTGTGTAGGAGAAGACTGTTGCGATAAATCAAGTTCAATGCGATTTCCTCCCTCTTCTGCTATTCCAGAATCACCCTCTGGTAATCTGCTAACATTCAGCGACAACTGAGCTCTTGCTCGTTTACCCATAACTTCCTTATCATATAAACAGGTATGCTCAATCTTCTTATCGCTAATACTCTCCCTATACGAAATTCGCATCTTTCCGATCTCTGCCCTAACCTTGAAGTCATTTAATAACCTGTCTCTGACAATTTCCAAATGAAGCTCTCCCATCCCACTAATCAACGTCTGTCCGGTCTCTTCGTCATTGATGACATGCAAAGATGGATCTTCCCTTAACACATTTTTCAGTGCCTCCTGTAACGGTTTCTCGTCCGATACCGTTGCCGGCTCAACGGCACAGACAAATACAGGCGCAGGTATCTCTATACTAGGAAGGCGGAGTGATTTATGAGAATGGTTAAATTGAATTAAAGTGTCACCAGTACGAGTGGATTTTAATCCGACAAGCGCACAAATGTTGCCGGCAGTTATGCACTGGATTTCTTCAGCATCGTTGGCATGCATCTGTAAGAGTTTGTTTACACGCTCGTTCGTGTTTGTGTTTGTGTTATAAAGCGACATGCGATTGTTTAAAGTACCTATAGATGTAACCAAAAGTTTGTCAGTGGAGATGAGTAAGCATCTTTGCGTTCGGCATGTTTGCATATCAGACCATCTATATATAATATACTGTTGTGTCCCAACCTGAATATACACGGACAAAAACCAATGGTCCTCTTCTATGATCATGAACAACCTTGAATGCAAGTGCACATAAGCTCTCCTTCTCCTTTAGCGGTATTACAACATTTTCCCCACTTGCAAGAGTTCCTATAGGCGCCGCACAGTCAAGAGGCGATGGCAAGTAGTCTACAATAGCATCGAGCACTGGCTGGACGCCACGGTTTCGAAAAGATGCCCCGCAAAACACAGGGACGGCTTTACCGCTTATCGTCACTCTTCTCAAAGCACGTTTAACTTCCTTGGCTGATACCTTCATATGATCTTCTTCGGCAAGCATGATCTCTAAAATATTGTCATCCATCTCAGACAGCACTTCAACTAAGTTCATTCTCCCTTTCACTGCTTCATAGTAAACTTTCTTATCACCATAATCCTCGGTTAACTTTTTCCTCTCAACAATATTACCATTGACATCCTGATCCCAATCCAAGACCTCCATCTCTACCAAATCCACTGCACCCCAAAACACATTTTCTCCGCGCCCATCTTTCTTCATGATAGGAATCTGACAAACCAACGCCTGTGCCCGCAACTTTTTGGCAATCTGGCGGACAGTTCGTCCAAACCTGGCCCCAACTCGATCCATCTTGTTTACGTATGCAATGCGAGGTACGTTATACCGATCGGCTTGAGCCCAAACAGTTTGTGTTTGAGCTTCGACGCCAGCAACGCCATCAAGGATAGTGACAGCACCGTCGAGCACACGGATACTGCGCTCAACTTCAATGGTAAAATCGGCATGACCTGGTGTATCTATAAGGTTTATGCGGTGATTGCGCCAGGCAAAGGTAATTGCAGCAGAGGTTATAGTGATACCACGTGCGCGTTCTTGTGATAAGTAGTCCATAACTGTGTCGCCGTCATCAACATCTGTTTCACGACAAGCGGAATAGAAAATGTGGACAAATGATTATAAATGAGCGCTTGAATAAAAAGGATAGGAAATCGGATAAAGTATGAAGACAGGATTTACATTAATGTCTTGGTAACTTGCCCCCTATACGCCTTGTAAGTCCCGCATAGTGCAACATTCGTTCTGTGGTCGTCGTTTTGCCTGAAAGCACAGCTTGCTACGTTAAAGCCATATTGGCGATGTTATGGATGTGATTGAAGCTATCGTAGATACCTGCATCTATGTGCGCGATAATTCCTATATTTCTAATATGTGAAATGTCATATTCTTATGTTTTGAGTGAATCGCGGTGAAATTATTTATTAGTTGATCAAATCCTTGGGTGACGTGAACGAGCTCATTATTCTAGTACCTCCACTTGACACTGAATATGATCTCACAAATCTATAGTATCGTTCACGCTTTGATAGAAATGACTGTAGCCTATTCCGTCTTAGAGCAGAGAGCGTAATGCCCTTCAAGATAGAATATCCCTGTAACATTTAGTAGACAATCCAAAGTCAAAAGTACCAAAAAAAATAGTTGAAATTAAACACGTGACAGATAATCATTCATCTAATTTCGCCGCCACTTATTATTCGTCTGTGTTTTTGCGTGAGCCAATAATTCTCAGAATGGGCCGTAACATTAATATCAATAGTAGGCATTACCATGATCTCCGGAGAGAATCAAGGCTCCATCAAGCAATGCCCGGAGAAAGATTCCCCGAGGACTATATGATGGATGGCGATCACAAATCGTTAGACACTTGCAATTCCATATTTTTTTGATACGTTCCGTTGTCTTTGTAAATATATTAGAGGGTTAAACAAAATTGATTATTTGACATTAATTCCGATTGTAACATCGCCCTAAATTAATTATTACGATAATAAAACAGCCATCCCCACAGAAATCAAAATGCCTTCGCGTTTTGAAATCACGTCAAGATAAATTTTGCCTCTGGTATGAGCGCTATATTACTGCATATGTATAATCATTCATTTCCCCAATACAGATATGAACACATACACACACTGGTTAAAAATCAGTGCTGTGGTTTTAAAGTATGGTTGCATTTTTCGAGATACCCGGGATACGTCCATTCCTTCGGTTGACTCGAAGTATTGTTGGGCTGTAAAAATGATAATAATAAGACCACGTCAAGTCAAAACAAAAAATTAAGTGATTGACATACCAGCATGCTTGTATGATGAATCTAATGACATTGAAATACAAGACGCTTTGAAAAACGCGTTGAGTTATACGTGATGAATTATGTTATAATAGATGTGTGCATACATAACAATCAGAGTACGATTAACCATCAAGCAGGGCAAAATACGATATTGACAGGCGGAAGTTGAGAGGTTTAATGAGGATCCAGAATGGTTTAGACACATATCTTAGAGGAAACATACCACAGGTAAAAACCAACTTAGTGATACAAAGATAGAAATTCAAAAGAACATGCGCCCCTGAGAAGAACAGATTACAAGGATGTGCCAAAATTGTTAGACGCTTCTTAATATCGATAGTTCTAAGACACGGCTGCTTTGGTTCTGAAAGGAACCTGGGGGAATAATTGTCATCGCGGCGAATATCGTACGATCAGGGGTTTTCGGCGGGGCAAGGAAATGATTCATCAAGATATCAGGAACATTTTCAAGGCGATGATTAAATGACTCCTACTTCATTACTGGCGGGGACTGCTTATTCATCAGGTAAATGAGATCAGACAACAGCAGTTTCTTTAAAGCTAAAATTATCAATTGCCTGAGTAAACAACTAAACTTCTTTCCAACGTCTTTGTTATCCAATTTATTGTTTGACTCTACAGCCATAAGCACAGGACTACAAGTCATAAGAGCTGTACGAGGGTTTGGCAGCCAATGACTGACCTCAATCTATACATAGAAGATTTTAGCTAGAAATAGACAAGTGAGAATAATATTCTCGAGTAATTTACTAATTGTATAGTATTATGTGTGAGTAGTAATTTTTTAAGTTTATTGATTATGATTGACTCTTCATATCTAATACTAATATTTGTGAACGCGATAGGCTATACCTGAGGATTCTTCTCAGTGTTGGGCACTGTGTGGTTAACGATTATACAAATCACTCTCGTAATAGCCATCTACCCGAAAGCATTATTCCTTCTAAGCGCAGAGAAGCATAACTCCGACACAACTTAGTTCAGTGATGTTATAATACTCTTCGCTGCGGTAATGCCATCACAACGGAATAGTCAAGTAACTCATAGTATATAACATCGTAATAGGCTAAACGATATCTCCGTTAGTAATTAATATTACCAACCATTATCGGAGTTAAACTCCGGTTCAGTGAATTAGCCAGCAAAACTAATTATAAACACTCTCGAGTGAGGGAGTTAACTTGTCGAATACTCTAGCGCTACGCAACACGAGTCATTATCTAGGTTGGAATGTTATCCATACTCAGTTAAACGCAACGATGACAATGTCATGTAGTAATGATAGCGAAATAATATTTGTTATAGTTATCCAACCATTACTTTTATGTTTATTAACAACAGTTCTATCAAGGACATGCACTAGATATAATAATATCTCCCTTTCACTTAACACCATCGATAGCCTTTATGTTGGTCAAGAAAGTTATTAAATGTTCGCCACGAGGAAATACATAGTGAAGCCACAGCCGACGGAAAGACTCGCCCCGTTTTGCTATAAGTAATAATGTTGACACAACATTATTAACTCTTATCCTTAGCGAACGTATTCAATTACGAACGCTTTTACTTTATTCTTAAACATGATCTTCCTCAGCGGACAAGTATTGTTCCAACGAACTACTATGTCCATAATAGAGCTTTATTTCATTATAGCTTTCATTATCGCAGCGGAAGTCTTATAGTTAACCAGCTTCCGTATCGCTACGTTTGTATCGTTCTGCTCCTTCTTCACGATAGTCGCTTCGGGAGACTTAAGAACGTTTTTGTATTCATTCGAACTGATCGTTTTCAGTATTGATAGTTGCATTTTCGAGAATAAGAGTTATTTTAGTTGTTTTCAAGTCATCAAGACCAGATGCAAAAAGCATGCTCGGATATTTAAGCATTAATTTCTGACTCCATGCAGTTAATATTAATGTCCAATAAAATAATATATGATTAAATTTGTGCGACAAGTATTACTAATACTAATACTCATCCTTTGTGCTATTCTAATTTCGGTAGCACAAAGTCACATGAATATTTCACCGTTCACAATACACAGTGAAGTCCGCTTTAATTAAAATCTGTATATCGATATAACGAAGAAATTTCAAACCAGCTATAAGATAAACCATTCAGTTTAACGAAGATTGCCTAAATTAGCATAATATACCGAGATTTTGGTGCATAACTAGCCAGTGCTAAGGAAGAAATCAGTTCTCACTTGAAAGCCTTAGATGTTTCAAAGGATTGGCATGATAAACAAAAGCAAGAATTATTGGATAAAATTCAAAGACTTGAAAGTGAGGTTGAATTCTTAAGAAAACAGCA